TAGCTTACTAAATGGCCTTCTAAGTGCGATAAAAGGACTTTTTATTAAAATTTCAAATGGCCGGCCAGTGGAGGAAGCCCCGACCAGGAATGAGACGAGGTCTGTGGGCGGTGTGTGGGTTGGGCAATTGACTTTTATTAAGAGAACCACCAGCACCACCCGCACTACCGCCTTCTTTACAATGCCAGGGCTATTTATTATGTCAAAGTTGGAAGCGGTTTTTAGTTTACAACGATTGCCTGGGTATGTTGTTGCCCGATTTGTGGCGATTGCTTTGGTTAGTGGGTATTAGGATGGTATTACGACGGTCTTTCTTGTATTTCCGTTCAAGACAAAGGTGAAATACATTAAGCTACTTTATTAGGATCGTCTTTGGAAGGACAGACCTCAAGGAATCAATAATCTAAGCTACTTAGCATAGTTTATGAGCGGTTTTATAACATAGAATTGAAAGACTCTAAATCTGAGACCTCAGTTTTCTCTCAGTGCCTCACTCTGGTTGAACCAATTGCTATTCCATCAGGGCGTGCCATCATGCATTGTCATTACTCGGGGCCTTCACCTCTCATCCGCGCACAAATCCCAGCAAAATAACCAAATTTAATAATAGCGTGAAAAAGCGTTCACCTCTTTCATATGCAATCAGTGCGCCAGAGAGACAGAAAAGTAAACTAAATTCTGAATAATGATGGCCACGCGGAACTGAACTGAACTGGAACTCGAGCCGAAAACCCCGAGCTCGAGCCCCAAACCCAGATCCGAGAGCTCTGGTTCTCTACGCTTTCTGATTACGCCACGTAATGGTGGGAGTGGGAAACGGTATCCGATTCCGAATCTGAATCGGAATGGTAATGGTAATGGAGTTGGACTGTCGAGGTTTTTCGTGTTTTTTTTTTTTTTTTGGAAAGGAAGTGGGTGAAATTTTGCAAAATCGAAATGCAAATAATAATTTTCGGTGGCTCTACGTATGATGGCTTTTTAATAAATGTGAAAAAATACTCAGAAATGACAGACACATTTCATTGTTTTAAATAAAAATTTGGATTCCATAAAAAGTATTATTAAAACCATTTTTTCACTCAAATAATTGCCAAATAAATGTAATAAATTATCACTAATTCAAATGGTGATGCCTATGGCTTATCATATGATAGGTTTTTAATCAAAGAGCCCTCGAAAAGCAAATGGCTCGCTTGGAAATTATAGATATTTGTCAGCTAATCCAATGTGGGATTGACTTCTGACTGGACCCGGACATCGTGCTCCTTGACTCCTTCAACGGAAGCTGGCTAATAAGGAGATGTCCTGGCTCCATGCCGGACTGTCTGTCTGGGTTTCGGTCTATGAATCATGCGCAGCTTTGACATTTATGGCTTCAATTTATTTGATAAATTTCACACGCACGTTATCAATTGGCTCGGCAGTTGCTCCCCCACGGTGGTGGCAATAAATTTTGACGGATTAGTTCGCTTATGAGTGGCATCGCCAAAAGGACTCAAAGGACGCTGCTATCCAAACAGGCGAGTGGTGGAAACTATTCGTATTCGGTTCGGGATAAACTGTAATAATGGCTATTATTATTTATTTTTATTTTCCAACCATTCTCAACGGGGGTGTCCTTGCTCCTTGGTCCTCTGCTTGGTGTGTGTTCGTCGGCGTATCAATTTTCATAAAATATCGATGCCTGGTTATTGATAACCGTGGCTAAAGTCATTTTATTTCCCGGTACCGGGCTTCCTCAAGGCCGGATACGGCTGGAAAAACGAACCCCCTCTCAGATTGATAAATTTCCGCACTTCCAGCCCGCTCAAGCCACGCATTTGTCAGTTCCGGAAAAATTCATTTGGGGCGGCCATCAGAAATCATCTATGGGAGATCTATGATATAAACGCAAATTGGCCCGTATTTGGAAAATTGTATTTGGAAAATTTACATCTTAAGGTATATCCATCAATCTGGAAATAAAATATCTTAGTAAAATTACTATCCTTAAAACTGATAGAATTCAGAAAATCGAAAATCTGATTTATATATGGTATTCCTATACCTCGATGTGGTATCGATGTGGACCTTGCATTTTTTCACATTTTGAAGGGGACAAAAGTTGAGAAAAAATCTAAAAAAAATTTTGTTCGCAGATTTTGATGCAGAATTGTGGAGAATCTATCTAGAAATCGTTTAAGGTATTCCGTTCCAGAATCGGATGATTATTGGTCAAGATATGGCTATCGACGTGGACCGTTTTGCCCTTCCTTGCATTTTTCCACATTTTGAAGGGGACCCTCCACAAAAGTTGAGAAAAAATCTAAAAAATATTTTTTTCCCAGATTTTAATGCAGAAGAATCTATCTAGAAATCGTTTAAGGTAAGACTGGGCCACCTACATACATAATCTGGTGTGCCTTGCATCCATATACATATATGTATGTATAATTGAAGACATATAATCGGCTGTAAACTAAAAGGATATATGTACCTCTACTGGCCGTAGCTAGCTACTGCTTTGCCTTTTTTCCTCACAGTAATTACCTTTTTTGGGAATTAGCTACTCTTAACAAAATCACGATAATTGCTCCATTCGAGACAATTTGCTGAAGCTCATTGATTAATTAATAAGGTCCTCAAGCTTATTCAAAGCTCAGAACTCAGAGCTCGGAATAGAAGCGAACCGAGTGATTTTGGGAGTGCCAGTGTTCCAGGTTATCGGCTTTTGGGCTTTTCGGGCTACCTACATAATTTAAAGCTAATTAATTTTCCTGGCGCAGCTCATTCGAAATACATCAATCAAATCCCGGAGTGAAGCTAATTGCATTTACCTGATGACGGTTTTCATTTTGGTAACCGCCCCTCTCGGTCCTGGTGCCGCGTGGCCCAACCTATTAGCCCCCAACGTCAATTGGTGACAAATTATTCACGCTGTCATGTGGAAAACTTTTCATGAGAGTATGTTTTGGTTTTCTGGATTCGGTTGTTTTGTCGGTCGATTTTGGGGGGTTTTTTGTTTTCCCTCAAAATAAGTAAATAGAGGTGAAGGAAAACGCTGATTAGGTATTATAATTAGTGGTTTGTTGGTTTAATATTTCCCCCTTTTTGTCTCAATGGGTTCAATTACCGAAAAACAAATGACAGTGTACATGTTGTTTATGTTTATTTTGAAAAGAATTAATTTGCCTAAATGATTTATTGTTAATCAAGCTCATTGAAATTTGAACTTTTAATGATAATAAAGTAATTTTTCAACAAAATGGTTACCAATTAAAATTATTTCATGGAAAATGGTTTATTTTTCAGCTGAAATTATCTCTACCTTCTTTCCCTGGTGGATGTAATTTGTATGCAGGTCGAAACCAAAGGTGTTTACACCTATGAAAGGTATACTCGATATCCAATTATGAATTTCAATGTGTTGACTCGGTTGACCCACAAAGACCCACCACAACACCGGAGTGGTAAGCCCAAAGCCATCAAGATGGTCTGAAGATAGCCCCTCAATAGGGAGAAAAGTAGGGGGACACGTTGCTATCGCCAAAATCTGATGCCTAATCCTCGAAATTAATTACCTTGGCTGCACCTTTGGCCCTCGGCCTCCGTCTCTCAGCCACGACATATCACTCAGCGTTTTCCAACGAAAATTAAGTGAAAAGAGAGAGGGAAAAAAAAGGAAAATTCCGTGTAGCCCAAGGCGATCCTAGTGCCCAGATACGAGTCTTAAGTCTTTCTCCACCAACCCAGACTTATGCCCGTGCACGTTCCAGGGCGAGAGCATCAAGATATTATGCCTGCAAGTCGGCGATGGCGGTGGCGACGGCGGAGGCCACTTGACACTTCCTTGGTGTGCATACTGTACTTGCACTGAAAAAAAACTTATTAAGAAATCGTAATTACCCTTCCATTTGATTAACATGAAACTCTACAAAATATTTACTTTAATTCTTTACCATTTCCCCCTTAATAGTCTAGTCCCCTTTTTAAAAGCTTCTTTTAAAAATTATATAATAAACTAAACCATAAACCCTAATTTAAAAACATTTTCCCCCAGTGAGTATTATACTTTTTTTGTGGTTTTTCGTTATGGATGACACGGCCATCGTCAACATGATCGCCATGTAAATTTTTGAAATATAATTGGCCTAATATTTTAGCCTGTCTGTGTTCCTAATGCCCCATTCTCAGTTTGTGTCCCAGACACGTACTTTGTGCTTGTATATGGTATGGTATAGTATGGTTGGATGTATGAGACCCCTGGTCTGGCTCCGGCTCTGGCTTTGGCAAGCAAGCTGTTAACTTGGCCCGAAACTCCACTCATGCTGCAGGCCATGATTTTTATCAGTTTACCTTAGTTTGCGTTTGGCTAACGCACCCAATTTTCTATGGAATATGGGTGTAGCCCGTTGCCAGTTGCCTAATGTGGAAACCTCCTCCTGCCTGCCCCCTTCCATCCGTGCACGTCTCCGTACCCTTCCCCTATCCCTGTTCCATTGCCCAACCCAAACAAGACCGGGCTAACTGGCAAACAGCAAACAAAAAACAGAAAAACGACACAATCCGTGCATTAGCCAAACTAAAAACCCGAACTCGTACTTAAACAACTCCATGCCATTTGTTTGCTGAACTTTTGATATTTTCCAGCCAGCCAGCGAGACAGCCAGGCAGCTCTGCAACTCGGAGACTTGTCAGCCAGATTGGAACCGCGAACCTTGGCATTTGTAAGGTGTATGGACGATATATATCTGGCCAGAATGGGCACCTGCCGAACCACAGGAGTGGGTGTAAGATTATGGCCCGGGGAATATGAAAAACAACCAGTACGAGTGCTAATAGGTTCTTGATTTTGTAATAATTTATTCATAATTATTTATAGCAAAGGTTGAATCAAAAAACTACCTCCAACTAGTTTCTATTATTGGGTCTAATAGTTTATAAATAAACTGCTAATTATTCTATTTTCAAAGGGGAGTGGTTTCTAAATAATATTTAGGCAAAGCAACCCAAGACGTCATAAAGTTTTTGAAGAACATAAAATATATCCAGTTGCATAATCAAGTTCTCCTAAACTCATTCAATTCCTATTTCCTAAGAATTTAAAGTTAATTTTTCAAAAATGTCGTCGGGTAATATCGTTCCGAAGAAAAGCAAGGCCTCGGTAACTTCTTCGGAGATCAATCTTTCGGCGGCTCTTCATGTGACTCAAGTGCAAACCACCGAAGAAGATGAGCCCTTCTACTTTTACAATGGTCCTCCCAAAACGTCAAAGACGGATCTTGTGGAGGAAGAACCGCACAGAGCTGCCCTGGAGGATTTTGTGCCCAGGACACCGCCTTTCGTGGCCAAGATCAGCAACCTCCCGATGGAATGCAATGAAAGGGAATTGCAAAAGGTGTTTGCCAGTTTTTCGATCCGTTCTCTGACTGTTCCCAAAAAGGGAAAACGTCCCAAGGGATATGCCCTGATGGAGCTGGAAACTAGGGAGGATCTTATCCAATTGCTATCATTGGAGAAAAAGTGTCGGGGTCGCTTGCTCTACACAACAGTATACATGGATGCTGAGATGCCAGTAAAGCCTGGTGGCAGTGGAGACGCTCCCTTTACCCCAAGGAACTCAATAACGCCCAGGACACCCAGTATATCAGGAACGGTAACGAGCGAAACTGATGACATTTCCTCACATTACTCGGCGAGTATTAGTAACCTCAGCGAGGTAGAATCTCCTCGGTGCTCTAGCAGCGAAATGTCCTTCTTCACTCGGGATTCCCCCATCAAAAGGACCCCGAGCAGTATCGAAGACTCGGAGAGGAAAATGCACATTCGTCTTCAGAAACTGGCAGAGTTCGAAAATGCCCAAACTGAGAGATTCGAGAACTCATCCCCGTCTGATGACCCAGAAGCCTTCAACATGGCCTGGAGCGATATCCTTAATGAGGTAAAGAAAAGTGAAGAGCTCTAGGTAGTTGTGTTTTTAAGAATTCAAATTTAAATTGACGAGTTTATTAAAGAGTAAAAATTATTGCTTTGCAGTAGCTTTAGTCTTAGTTTGAATAACTCTATTAGTTCCACATAAATTCTCCAAAAATCGATTGCAGTATCTATAAAAATGGACTGACTCCAGTCCCCCCAAAAAGAGCTAATTAATAGAGCTCCAAACTCTGTTAATGACCGTTTTTCGGAGACTCGGAGCTTGGCAACAGCTGTAGGTTTCCAAAAACCGAATAACCGACAAACCGAAATGAAAAGAAAACAATTTATCAACAATAATGACTAAAAGCTGTCAACTGAATTAATTTAAACTGATTTATTAATGCGGCGACAGTTGGGCGATCGAAAATGTCTGACGTCGTCGAACTCCCGTCGACGGTCGACCTGACCACACCACCCAGCACCTCCACCCATTACTCCGTACCATCCTCTTTTTGGCCAGAAAACAAAGAGCCAAAAACAATCCGGTAAGCATACGCTAATTGACCAACTAATTAGCGCATTTAATGGCTAAAATATATATATATATATAGAGAGACACTTAGTATGTACGGGATGAAACACGGTCACCGAAACAAGAAAGACAGACTTGCTAATGAAATTAACGTAGCGTGGTTAATAGTTTTGCCAAATTTGGAAAATTGTTTTCATCAAATCGGGCGGTTTCCAGTTCTCGGCTCTCTTGGCGTCATCTTTCTCATGCATTATCTTTATTATTTTATTTCTTTGTTAATTCCCTCTGCACTTAATGAGTCCGGCTCTAGGCGGCACGACTTTTGCGCTTCCAGCGGAAAATTACTCATGGCTGCCGGCCGCTTTCCAGACACCCTGGCGATGACTAAATGGGCTCTAACCAAATGGGCCAAAAGCCGCCAGCCCACGTCCAAACAATAGATGGAAAATTATGGTCCCATCGGAAAAGTTTTTCATTAGCTTTGATATGCTTAATTTTTAAGGTGTTGCGGGTATAATCTTTGACTTGGAACTATTTTATTTGAAATATTTATTTAAAATATTATTACCAATAGGGTTTTCTTTAAATAATATTCTGGCATTTTGTGGAGCTTCATTTTATCGAGTAATTGCTTTGGGCCGCTTCAATTAGACGAGTTCTTCCTCTAACAATTTGGCCAGTTGCACATAAAATGTCTGCGGATGGTTTTCGACCCTCCCTGGCCATATATCCTTTCTTCCTCCTTTCTGCCCAATCTTCGCTCTTCAGTCTCCTCTGGGCCTCTGACTCTTCTCATTAACTCAACGGTGCGGACAGCCCTCTTGAATTTGGTCAGAATCGTGGCCAGAACCGCATTGCCACTGTGGCACATCAGTGCACTGAGAAGAATAAAGAGTTATTTAATAAAAAACATAGAAAACTATAATGTTTTATTAATATTTTATCGTAAAAGTCTTGTTGAAATTTTTATAATAGATCTTTCTATAGATATTACTTCTTGAGTTGACTTTTTTCTTTTCTGTGGAATTCCGAATCCCTTGCCAGGGCCACGTTCGGAATGCGGAATGTTCTGGCCATTGCCGTTGCCAATTTCCGGCAAATGGCAATGGGCAGAGCTCCACTGCCGTTGGGCGTAAATTAAAATTAAATTCAAATGGAAAAGTGTCGTTGCCGCGACCTGGACAGACCCGGGGGCACGAGGCATGGTACACGGTTCCGGATCCGGAGTTGGAGTTGTATTCATAGTCGGAGACACAGAGTCACAGTCACCAGAGTCAGAGTCAGAGTCCTGGCCATTGGCCATTGGCACGTCTGTCGGTTTATGCAACATTTTAGCAATTATATTCGCGTCGAGCGACATTACAACGGCAATTACACGCAGGAGCCGCAGAACATGGCCATGGGCGGTTGTCTATGATGTTGGACAAGGGGGGGGCAGAGCCGGAGAGTCCGGGATTCTGGCATTCCGGCAAGTCCTGTCATCGTCACGTGGAACAGCAACGTGATCAACTGACGCACGACTCTGATGGACGACAGTTGCCCCGCCGCAATGGGTCCTGGATACTGGGTCCTGCCACTGGCAGGATGGCTGAATGTCTGGCTGAATGACTGCCTTCTGGCTGGTTGACTGACTCCGATGACAGGACATGTAGTGCAGGGCAAAAAAAATTCGAAAAAATTTTGTAGCATAATGACCGAATTTCTTCAAATAAACGACTTGGAAAGATACTCTTCAGAACAGTACCAGTACTCTGAATAATAACAGGTTTATAAGCTTTTAAATAATTTTAGTAAATATATATAAAAATAAAGAGAAAATATATGTTTATACTATGGGGTTTTGGCAATATTTATTAAAATATTTATTGGATAAACATTAATTGGAAAAATTTTAGTAAGGAGGATTTTCAAGTATTTACATTACAGCTTATACTTATTAAATACTCTTGCATGACTGATTTAAAAAGTCTTCTTTCCTGCAGCTATTATTATTGATTTACTAAGTATATTTTAATTTAAAAAACTCATATTTTTTACCAGTGTATATAAATAAAGGTCTGAAAGTAATTTGAAATTCGTGGGCCTGTGTGGGCGTTGCAAAAAATGGTAGGAAGGGCCTTGGTGTGGTTTGGCTTTGGCCTGGTTTGGGTAAATGAAATAAAATAAATGTATGAAAGCAATAACCGACCGACATTACATAAAAATCTACTTGGCCAGGACACATAATTTGTGTGTGTGGGACGTGGGCCTATTTAGGTGGTGCGTCTGTGTGTGTGTGTGTGTGTATGTCGGTGTGGAATATGGCCGACACTTCCGTTCGACATGTTGCACATGTTGCTCCCGTTTCCGTTCCACTCCCACCAACTCAACACAATTTGGCACAACTCACCTCATCTAAACCACCTACAAAATGCACTTAGAACAAATATTAGTATTTTTAAAACGTAAGTAAAATATTAAAAATAATAGTCTTGACTTATGGTTATTAGACTTTTCTTATATTAATATTTTTATATAATATGAAGCCTATTTTTAGTATTTTAATTTTTTTTATGTGTACCCTTACAAACTCATATAAAATACAATATAACAGAGACCATATATTGTTGTTGTTGTCGCTGTAGTTGTTATTGTTGGTCACGCATGGTGTTCCTGTCGCTTGCTGTTTTTATTGCCCGAGCTTCCTGCCGTTCGCTTGTTTCATAATTAATATCCTTTCACACATTATTATAACGGAAATGAGTGGGGATATTTTTATTTTATTTCCACAAACGCACACATCCTTATACCCACACATTTTGGCCTTTTTTTTTGCGCACACACGAATGGGTGTGTGTGTGTGTGTGTGTATATCCTGCGGTTGGGCAGCAGGAGCTTGTTAAGCATTTTATGCGTTTGGTTTTTCATAAATTTCATTCTGACACAACCCCAAACAAGGAGTGTGTAATTAAAAGCTCATGAAAAGTGATTAAAAAGTGAGTTGCGGCTACGCTCGGTGCCATATATTAAATGTTTTCATCCCCAAGCCCCCCCCCAATCCTCTCAAACTCTCAGTACCGCCTCTGTGCCACACGATAAAGTTGTCAAAACAATGCCAAACAAAAAGTAAAGCCATATCATAAAAACTGCAAAAATAAATATTAAAATTTTCAAACAGCTGATGCCGGGGATCAGAAAAGCCAAACATGCCACTTTAACTTGCTTTAAAAAAAAAATACCATTTGGCAGGATATGTGCATATTTAAAGAGGCCTCTACAGTGCCATCTTGTAGAATCATTAATGGCTTTTTCTCATGGACATCTAGAACTAGTTTTTTGGGGCCAATTTCCGTCAATCAAGAAAACAAGCAAAGCATTTTAACACACGAATTGGTATTTAACAAATGACTAACAATCAACTAACAGGTTTCTATCGAGTTTGGTTTTACAAGGGCGGTTGATTATTTTTACAAGAAGTAATACACTGAGAGAAATAAAGAGTCAACCGAGGCAAAACCTTTATAAAGGTATACAAGATATAGGGATTTGATGTTTAGCTTTCTATTTTACAAAGTCTTGTAGAGATCTTATTTCTATGTGACTCATTTTTTCTCACTGTTGTAAGGCCTGGTAAAATATCGTGCCGACTTGACCGGTTCAAGTGATTGATCTATCCGCCCCCTCCTCTGCCACCCCTGCCCCTTTTTTCCTTTAACCGCAACCGCAACATTTTCTAGAATTTTAGCCCTGACTCATGGGCCTTCTAGGGTCCTATGACGCATTTTCGGTGAGGGCCTTCTCGCATTTAAGGATTAGCATTTAAGAATGTATTTATGGTATGCATAAAGATATTTAAAGTGTCCTGCCACTAGCAGTGCCACTGGCAGGCAGGCTTTTCAGGCGATAACCGGCTTACACGCATGTCCCTGCCACGGATGACGCATGACTTAATGCTGGCGGGGACTCTGACTCTGACTCCGGCCTGGCTATGGCTACGGCAACGGGGCTCTGACGCCGAATCCGATTCCGGGCCGGGGCCCGGGCCAGGGTCTGGGCCTTGTTTGTGCACTAAGAGGACTGTACGGACGTAGTCCGTGTCCGGACTCCCGGATACGGGGCCTGTGACAGAACTATCGCACATGCAGGCCCACGGAACGGAACGCATGAGTGGCATTCCCCCGTCATTTCCATACGCGACCACTTTGCCCGATTCGCGTGTTGCGTGCAATTTGCGTGTAATTCTTGCCAGTCCTTTTTGGAGAGGAGTAGGGGAGGATTGAGAAGGGCAACTGCAGCAGTGTCCTTTGGTGGTGCGTGTGTGTGTGTCATCGCTACGCGCGGCACATAAATCATAAGCAACAACGCAAACTGCGTTGCTACAAACCAACAGAGCCAGAAATTAAACCACGAAAGCCCTTAACGACTTCTGGTTACTTACTATTATTCTATTTCCCAAAAAAAAAAACAATAAACAAATCAAATATTTTCCAAAAAGCTAATCCCAAAACCTATCTAAATAGTTTCTTTTTGTCCTTTTTAAAGTTACAAGAT